AGATCTTTCCAAAGGGATCCCGGGGATGTCCCCAAGGTACAGACCCACCCGAGGGGATCCCGGGGGTGTTCCCACGGTACAGACCCTTCTAAAAGGATCCCGGGGGTGTTCCCCGCGGTACAGATCTTTCCAAAGGGATCCCGGAGGTGTTACCCCCGGTACAGACCCACCCGAGGGGATCCCCGAGGTGTTACCCCCGGTATACACCCACCCGAGGGGATCCCCGGGGTGTTCCCACGGTGCAGACCCTTCTAAAAGGATCCCGGGGTGTTCCCCGCGGTACAGATCTTTCCAAAGGGATCCCGGGGATGCCCCCGTGGCACAGACCCACCCAAGGTGCTGTTGGGGGTCCTGGAACTGCTCCCACGGCTCAAAACCTCTCAAGGGGATCCCGAGGGGATCCCGGGGGTGCTCCCGTGGCACAGACCTTCCCGAGGTGCTGTCGGAGGTCCTGGGGGTGCCCCACGGCACAGATCCTCCCGAGGGGTTGTCGGGGGTCCCTGGGGTGTCCCCGCAGCACAAACACTCCCGAGGGGGTGTCCCTAGCGCGGGGGGAGGCACGGCAGTGTTGGAAGAGCATTTAGCAAGGGTATTATTGTAAGTAATTACTGGAGAACAAGATGTGGAGGCTGCCGGGAGCCTCTGCGAGAGGGTTCTCTGTGAAATCCCACTGAATAACGCGGCGATGGGAAGGTTCTCCAGGCGCAGTGCCAGGCGCGACCGTGCGGCTCCAGCACTGCGATCAATTGTGTTTGGAAACACCCAACGAACCTTCGTGCAGGAGCTGTCCCCAGACCTCCAACGGCAGCGTTAATGAGGTGGTTTTTATTCCCCTTCCTGGTAAAAGCAGCACTGATCCTGCAGATGGACACTCAGGAATGCTGTTTGCACAAGTCAGTAACATCTCCAGTTCATTGGCTTTTATTCATGTGCAAAAAAAGTGGAGAAGATGAATTTTGGCTGTTTTGCAGCATGATGTCATCTTTGGCCAGCAGAAAAAGCAGTGGTAGGAGAAGCACCACTTGTAAATGGTACCAAGTCCCCATAAAAAAAGCAGTGGTAGGAGCAGCAGCACTTGTAAATGGTACCAAGTCCCCATATTCATATGTCAGTGTAGTTTATTCTTTAAATAATCTCCTTTTTAAAGGCTGAAGAATTTGAGGTTTGTGCAAACACACTGAGAACTTTTTGAAGGGCAAACCCAAGTTTGCTTTAACCTTTTTGTATCCCTGGTGAAACTAGCTGTGGGAAAAAATAATTTCAAAGAGGAACCTGTAAGAGTCTGAACACTAGAAAAGGGATTAGAACAGATTTCCCAAAGTTTCCATAGTGTTATTCCATAGTGACAAGTATTGTGCCAAATTCAGCTTCAAGGCATTCTCCAAAATCATGACTCTGATGTCACACCAGTGCAGAGAAGTTGATTTAATACTGTTTGATCGAAGACTGGCAGGCACAGAAGTGAAGAACTGCCCAGGAAGAAAACCAAAAGATGCCAAAGGAAAGATAAATCAGACTTCATTTGGCTACTCTCCTCTTGGGTGACTTGTTGGCTGCATTTCATTTTTCACCTAGGCTGTATGGTCCAGAGTGTTTGAAATGCTGCTTAGGAAATGGCCTAACCTGGTTCTGCTCCCTTCCCCAGACAGGATAATCTCATTAATCTCATAATGGAGAGTTTTGAGAGCTCAGTTTTGAGCACGCACTGTTTTGGCTGGACATGTCTGAACCAGTGTTCACCCTTTCATGGGTGCATGTAAATGTATCTGCTCCTTCCCAGCAGGGTTTGCTGCTCTGGCCTACTGCTGGTACTGTTTCTGGGAAATTTTGCAGCCCTTCTGAGATCTCTTCTGTACAGGCTCGTGCAGGTCTCCTGTCCACAAGGTTTTGTTGTTCTGAGCTGCACTGAAGCAGCTTTAGCTGTTGCCAAGGCAGAGGTTCACTGCAGGCTGGGCAGTGTGCATGTGGAGGGAAGGAAATCACTTCATATGGCACACAGCAGGTTGTCCTGTGGAATGGAACACAGTGTCTCAGAGAATCTTGTCTTCACGGTGTGATCCTCAGGGATGTCCTGTGCTGAGCCAAGAGTTGGACTCGATGATCCTCATGGGTCCTTTCCAGCTCTGAGAATTCTGTGCTCCAGGCAATCACTCAGTGCAATAAACTGCATTCCCACTTTTTATATCCCTTTCTAGGAGACACAAACAAAGAACCATCAGGAGCAGCAAACAATCCCACCATGCAGCCCAACTGCAGCCACTTCCACAGCATCCACGGGAGCGGTGAGGACTCTCTCTCCTCTCCGAGCACCCACGGAACGACGCTGCCAGGGGACAGCTCCTGCCACCATGGCACGGATGTGCACATCCAGCTGAGCCCTGCTGTGGGAGAAACCATGGAGAACACAAGCTCCAGAGCCTCCAGGAGCTCCCAGAGCCGCTCCCACGGACACAGCCACGCGGAGGCAGCAGGGCCAGATGATCCCACTCCAGACTCAGAGGAGCACGGCGGCAGCTCCCTGTCAGAGCTCAGATACCTCCTGCACTGGCTGCACAAAAGTCTGCCCTATGTCCTGATCCTCTGTGTCAAACTCATCATGCAGCATATCGTTGGTACAGTATAACCACCTCTCCCCCCCAAGAGAGGCACTAATAGCCATGCCTGGAATATAATGCAATTGACTTTTAGCTTTATTTTGATTTGCTTTTTTCAGC